GATTGTTAAAGCATCGGCTCTGAAACTAGAAGCTCATGAGTTCAAAGCGAGGTGCGTGAGAACGCCGGGACCCTTTTTACACCTGGATCCCTGCTCTGTTTCGCCCTCATGTCTCTCCGTTATCACACAAACTTCCCCGCACTTCCTCCTCGGCCGTATCTAGACCCACAGCTAGTTCCTGATTGTCCCTCTTGCGTTGTGGCGTGGAATAACATAGCGCAGACTACGCTTCAATATTGGGCATAAATCAAGAAATACACACTGCTGCTGCGGAGGATAACCAGCCCATTACACCTTTTTTGTTTTTTTACATAATCATGTGATGACTGTATGATTTTATCTAGGGATGCACAATATAATCGCCCCCCTATCGGTATCAGCCTGTATCGGCCTTAAAACTGAATATCGGACATCGGCCAGCCCTCCGATATTTAACCCGATATTTGATCAGCTTCTGAGTTTCTAAAGGCTAAAAAAAAAAAAAATACTACTACTTCTTCTTTCTCAAAAACTTCTTTTTTACAGACTTAAAAACTTCTAAAGACGAGGGAAAAAATATTGATACATTAAAATATCACAATATCTTCATATGCTGATATATTGCCATTTAAAAACACCATATCAATCTCTTTTACTAATGAAATATTGCTATATGTCATCGTTATGCTACGAAATCCCCCGAAAATTCACGAAATGTTGCCATATTTTTATATGTTGATATATTGACGCGGTATCGATCTATTTTACTAACAAAATCTCACAAGAATTTGCAAAATATCACGAGTTTGTAACAGAACGATGAAATTTCACCAGATTTTGAAAGTAAAATGGATCGATACCGCGTTTTTAAAAATCAATTTGATATCAGCATATGAAAATATATTTGAGTATATTATTTTTCAAAGTGTCAGAAATGGATAACAAAACTGCTATTTTCAATGACTACTTATTTTTGTCCAGCTTTATCATCGGTATCGATATCGGTTATCGGCTACATGAGGTTTAAAATATCGGCATATCGGCCAAAATCCCAATATCGTGCATCCCTAGATTTTATCCCTATTATAGATATGTATATATGCTGCAGTTGTTGCAATAAAACATGGAGGAAATCCAGAGATTAAACCAAAGATCCAGTTATTTGTACAACGTTACGTAATTTGTCATGAGTCAGGTTTGCGTAACTCACGTGGGTTTGATGGTATCTTTGTGTTTTTCATGAATGAACGCCGCGGCCAGACCACCAGCTCCTGAATTCAAATACTTTAAACCAAACACAGGCGTCAGGAAGAGAGATGCGAGTCTGTCTCATGTCCTGCATTCATCTCACCTTGTAGGAGCACCAGCAGGCAAAGTCAACCTCCCAGTCATGCAGCTTTAGCTCAACATTTCCCACTGCATGGGCGCAGTCGAATCCAACAAAGCAGCCCTGATGAAACACAAAAAGCTGTTGGATTCTTCTTCTTCTTTTGAAAACCCACAACATGTGATGGTACAGGTACCTTTCTGTGGCCAGCCTTTGTGATGGCCTGCATGTCGAACAGCTGACCGGTGTAGAACTGAACCCCGCCAAACATCACCACAGCGATGGCGTCGCCTTCTTTCTCGATTACGTCCAGGATGTCTTCAGTTCTCAGGGTGTGTTCTCCCTGATCAGATGGGGAAAGAGATCAGATTTCTGGGAAGCAGCGATCGATGGGACAGAAGAGATGCGATGGATGATGTTCTGGACGCACCGGTCTGGGAGAGAGCAGCAGCATGCTGTCTGCAGGTTCAAATCCTCGCAGGCGGATCTGAGACTCTATGGCGTACTGAGGACAGTGGAGGAAAACTTACGATACAAAAAATGGCTCAAGAAACAGGAAAGTTTGGGATTTTTATCAAAAGAATTATTATTCAAATAAAGTGAAAAGGAACCATGCAGCATGCATTTAAAAAGGACATTATCGTCTGCATAGAGGGAAAGTTTGAGACATACGTGATCTGAAGGAAAGGCCTTGTCCTCCAGAAGGATTTTATGTCTAGTTGAAGTTGGTTTGTAGAAGGACAGCTGCAAAATGAGACAAATTAAATAAATTACATTTTTTTCTCTTAAAAAATGATTTACTTTTCAAATATTTATCCAGATGTTACCATTAGAAGGTGCAGATTAACCGTCAGGCCATTCATCAGTGCTACCTCCTCAGTTTTAGCTCCTGAAATTAAATAATCATCTTATTGGACCTTGAAATGTACTGATCATCTTACATATGAGATACAGATTAGAAAAAAGTTTTAAACACTTGATTAAAAAAAAGTAATCTGAAGTTGTTAAGCAGAAAATTGATGTGGAGTTCCTGAAAAGGAGAGGTTAATAAAGTGGTTTGAACTCATCAGTTCAGGGGGTTATCTGCTGTTGAACTTCAGACTCTACAGAAGCAGGATTGGAAAGAAGGAAACATGTGGAAATAACTGAACAACAGCTTTAAAAAACATCAAGCAGCCTGTTCTTTATTGTGCTTTTACTTTTTAACCTTAAAATTAGAAACTTGCAGATTAAAGTCTGACTTTGCTACTTTTCCTGCAGATAGTATCTGAAACCCACAGGTTACTTTAGGAGGTTATGTTTTAATGTTTGTTTTTAACAGCTTTGCCGTGATTTACGGTAACTTTACTGCTTATTTACTGGTTATATATTACAGTGTTTACGTTAGTTTTATGGATTAATCCAACGCATTGTGTTTGCTTAAGGTGTAAAAACAATCACATTGATGTTCTTTGTTTTATTGATGATTTATTGATGATTTTTTTTATGTCTTTCTGTCCATGTTCTTTAGGTGTTTTTGTATTTTTTTCCAAACTCACCAACAATTTTTGCCATCATGTCTTCAAGGTTGTTCTCAGCCCACGCCCAAGGCCTCGACCCGATGGTGTGACCATGGACAGCTCTGTTTAAAACAAAATTAATAAAATCAGACATCAGAAATGATTCATACACTAAACGTGACATGAACTGACAGTTTGGCCCAGTTGTCGAGCTCCTCTTCAAGATATTTCCGTGCGTTTTTAGGTTGGAGGCCCAGAGAGTTCCCGCACAGGTAGACGCATTCTTCGCTTCCATCCACCAGCGACAGATCAGCTGCAGAGATGGAAACTAAACCATCACACTCCGAGTTCATGTTGTCGCATCCTTAGAGCAACATTTTCTACTCACAGGGAGGCAGGTCGGCAATTTTGGGCACCAGGAAGTTCCCCCTGAGGTGTCGCAGTTTGTCGTTTTCATCAAAGTACTCGGCTACTTTCTCAGAGGTCGGACTGCAGCCCAGCAAGCCGGACACTTTTTTCACAGCCTCTGTGGGATCTAAGTCAAAAAGCTGATCCATGGGAGCAGAAAGCCTGCAGGGATAAACAAAGAGATGTAAAGATCTCCCATCTAGATAAACTGACCTTTGAATCCTCTTTTTAATGAAAGCTTCATGGCCTCTTCAATAATTACCTGCTAGATTTAAAGCTTTAAAAAGAAGTCGTGTTTGGGGATGGATTTACTTTAAGGGAATGTTCTGATCTGCTCTGAAACCAAAACAAATGTTATATTAAAGGTCACAACCTTTATTTTCTCTGACTGTGAGGTATTTCAATGCCTCACTAAATGTAATGTAGATGTAACCCAGGCTTTCCCTCTTTTAACCTGCAACTGGTGGAAGACACCCTATGGACTCTGCGTTGTGTTTTCTTTTGGGTGAAGGTGGGATGTGTTCCGTGCAGAAGGGGAATCAGACACAGGGCTCGTAGTTGTGGGGAGAACTTGGCGCGTTTATTCTGTCCACCTTACAGGAAGTAAAACACACTGTCAGCAACCGTTTTTCTTTCTTTTTTTACAAAATAATCAAACATCACCAGTACAAAATGTAATATGCAAACTAAACAAACAGAAATAGCACAGTATATTAGGATAATTTATATTTTACACCGGCTAGCAGAGCTGCTGCTTACCTTACAGGCAGTAAAACACACTGTGAGAAATACAGCAATTCCTGCACAAAAATCCCCTGAACTACGGTGTCCCCAACAGGACAAACATGTTAGAACTGCAGTAGTGCCAGTAATTACAGAAAGCAAAAGCAACATCCTTTGGAACATTTATGCACTGGGTTACATAGACATCATGGACTCAGACCTGAGCCGTAAGTAAATAAATAACTCCTGTCACTGCATTAAGGCTGGACTTTAATGCATTTAATGTCATTCATATCTATATAAGTTTTGCAACTGATTAAATGTATATTTCATGTTTTTCTAATTATTTTTAATTGATGTTCTCTTGTTTTAATTTGCCTAAAATGTCTGATTGACCCTTTCTCTGCTGCTGTGTCTCACTGTCTTCATGTCTGTCACTCTTTATAAAGTGAAAGTGTTGTGGAAGTGCTAACTTACAGTGGATCAGTCGGTTACAGACGCTTCCTCTCTGCTGACGGGACTCGGACAGACTGACTCCTCAGAGATGCTCTTTAACCCCTCAGTGTGCGATGGTTAATCATTGCATGGATGAACACACCTCCAGCTCCTGATAATGGCTGCACAGCTCAACTAAACCTACGGCTGAAATCACTCCTGTCATTGTTTAGTTTTTTGTTTTCCCAATACTTGGTTCCTCTTTTCTGTGGTTTCAGTTTCATGTGTGATGTTCAGATTAAACTGAAATGTGTTCAGATGGTCTCAGACAGCTGGGATTTGTTCCCATTTAGAAACCAGGGAAGGTGAAGACTGTAAAAAATAAAACAATTTGATTTTGGTTGATCAGTAAAAACTTTTTCCTGACTCTATAAATGTTACTGTAAAATCAAATGATTTAAGTGTAATTTCAAATAATCTCCATTACTCTCCCTGTCCACCAGGGGGCATAAAGAATATTCTGTTCATATTTATAGTACTTTATATGATTAATGTAAAGCATCTTGAAACATGATGCACATTTAAAAAGCAGCATTATTTGAAGCCTCCCCCCTCAATGGTTCAGTCCACCTCCCCTCTCTATAAATCAAAATGGATCCCTCCACTTCCTGTTTGTCAGTAGTCCTTTCACCTGGAGCACATGGAGCAAACATGGGTAAGAATCCTCCTCAGCTTTTATTTTTCTATTTCTGTCACTTGATTGTGATAGTTTTACTCTCTCTGGTTACATAAAATGCATTCCTTAATAAATCTGAATAATCTGGACGTTTCAATGCTGCTGAAGTTTTTGATGCATCAGAATTCAATAATTAACCCCATTGGATTATAATATCAAGGGCGTAGGTTTGTTTTCAACTTTGGTAGGGACACTATTCTTCAGTTTCATTGGTCCTTTGCAAAAATATGCATGCTCTTTTTTTATGCTTAATGTGAGCTTCAGGGCTCATTTTGTTTAAAGAGAACAGCAGCATTTCTTGCTACATTAATACAAATCTTATAAGCACTACATGGCATGCACTAGATGCTGTTTATCAGTATTTAAAGCATCACTGGCTCTGATGGATGTGGAATTAGGACTTTTTCCACTTTGAAAAGGATTGCATTTAAATTTACCTGCGACTAGGACAGTGTCTATTTAACCAAATATAGTCTAAATATGTCTGTAATATGTGGATTTATCCTGTGTTTTCTTCTGAAGATATAGAATTGTGCAGAGGTAAAGAGAGGTAAAACCCACTCTTATTTTTTTTTCTAATATGCTCTCTCTGGATCATGCAAAATAATACATTCAAGGGACGGTAAATAAATGTATTGTATTTACATGTGCACTGGAACTAGAAGAGGAACTGACACTGAGCATTTAAAATATTAATATTAGAAGTTGTACATCTGGGCTATAGTTACTCTGTGTAGCTAAATTCATGTATTTTATCTAGGGCTGAAACAATTAATCATATTAACAAATTATTTAAATAATCGTGAACTAATTTAGTAATTGATTAATCGTTAACTGGAATATAGGGCCACTTAAATGTGGCTTTAGCCGACAGAGCGACCCACATAGAGCAGGAATCATACCAAGATTGTAAAAAAAAATATGTAAACATTTTGCATTTAGGAAGTAAAACATTTTTGTCTGTCAATATTCTCCATCCAGAACTCTTCCAAAGGAAACGTTTAAACGTTTCTGTTTCACCTGGTTTCATTTCATAAAAGATCTTCTTTAATGAGCCTTTGGCTATCTGATTAAAAGATAAAATAAAAGAAATCCTAACGTTGTTAACTTACATTTCTCAAGTTCCAAAAATCAAAAAACTCTCTCCTGCTTCTTTACAGAACTCCAATCAGAAGCTTTTGCCTGTTTTAGCGTAGATAATATTAAGTTTTTTAATTTGACTAGTTTCTTGGCCCAATATTAATTTATTTTAGCGTCTTTTTTTTCGCGCTCCAAGCACCCGCACCCGCACACATACAGACTAGAAAACACGCAATCAGAAAGAGAGAAGGCGGAACTTAAGGCAGAATAATCAGAGAGTTAAACCGCGCAGCACAGTTGATGCGCTGCTGAAAGGGACAGGAAAGAGCAGGCAGCTGCAGCTACCAGGCAGAGGAGCTGGGAGAGGAAAAGAAGCGGCTGCTGTATAGTAAATTATAAACATGTTGTTCACATCCGATTATTGGTAGGGACAAATAGGTCCGTCCTAAATTTTGGTAGGGACATGTCCCTATGGTCCCTATGCAAACCTACGCCCATGTATAATATAATCACTCAAACTTAAACAGCAGATTTTCCTATTTACTTAAATGTTATATGAATAATAGTGCCGCATGCACATAGATCTAAAACACAGACATTATACTCAATACAGATATTTATTCACATGGCAAATCTACACAGGCTCTAGCACAGATTAGCTTAGTTTTAAAGGACAGCTCAGTTTATAAAAAGTAGTGAGGAAGCCAGGAGGAAAACACAGGAGAAAGAGGGGGGTTAGCCAATCATTATACACATCAATATACTAACATTAAAGATAAGTACAGAATTCATGCTCTTTTCAGAACTAGATTTTGTGTTTTATGGAGTAAAGAGAAAATGATTTGTCTCTGAAAGTCATCTAAGAATCTTGAGTGAAATCATATATTAATAACTATTTTAATGAAAATGTATTAAATAATTATGTAGATATTAATACTTGTAGATATATATTTTATGCAGAATGATAAAAAAGTAAAAGTAGGTAAGTAATGACAAAGGAAGAGATGTTTATCTTTTATCTAGAAAGCACGGATGTTTGACCCCCTCAGTGTACATTGGTTTTCACGGCTGTTTAAATATATAACTATACAGAAATAGCATATAAATAACTATACTAGTACTGGTCCAAAAAATGTATATATATATATATATATATACACAATATATTCACATTTTCTTTCTTCATTTCTCCTCAGACCTTTTTAAATAACTTTTTATGGATCACATTTTCCTCACTTCCTATTGCTAACAATTGACCAAAAACGCTAAATAAATCTAGCAAACTGAGAGGACGTCAATTTTCCATACGCAAAATGTGTTATGTGTCAACAATAGTGGAACAAATTTCACTCCACTTATTCAATCAATTATCAGATATTTTAGGAGAAAATTGCTCCAAAACTGCCATAATATCGTTCAGAGCTGATTGAAATGTGAATAACAAATGTTTTCTTTTCCCAGGTTTGCGTCCTCAGAAGGCCGATTAAGTCATAGACTCCAGATGCGCTCAAAGGGAAAAAGGTACTTTGATATACGGTAATACAAATATGTGAATAGTTCCATCCGTTTGATTTAGCTAAAAGTTTTTATCTGTTTGGCTGTAATTGAAGGACAGATTCTAATATATCTGCAGAATGGGGACTATAAATCTGATATGATTTTTTTTTTTTTCTTGTTTATTTTTGTTGTTGAATATCAGAGATTTGATCCAGTCGAGGTAGACCGCATCCTTGGAGGACGCTGCCCATGAATTTGAACACAGTGTGAGTTTGGTGATCCATCTTCCTGAACTTAAATCCTTTGTTTCTTGTCTTGTCCTTAATATAACTTTACTTTAATATATATATTTTGAAAAAGAAATAACATATCTTTTTTTTTTTCCAGGGGAGCTGCAACATGTGTGGTTAAGTGGTTTGCTAATAATCCAATTTTGGACCTGGTAAATCAGTGAAATTACTCAATAACTGCTACAGTAAAGGGGAGCCAGGATGCCAGGGAAGTGGGGATATGTGACTTTCCACCCTGACTGTACTTTTTGTTAACCTTGATTGTTTTCATTTTATGTAACAGGTAAATAAAAAGGATAAATAAAACAAAAAAGAAACTGAGTTTTTCTGCTTTTCCTTCTCTCTAAAAATATACCCGTTTTATCTCTATTAAGTTGAAATTGGAGGTTCCCAAAAGATAATACTGTTCTGTTTTCTTAGTCGCAATGAAACTTCTAAAAATGGTAAACTTTGACAAAGTATAACACTTGTTTCTTTTCAAAACATCAATAAATGTCATTTATAAACATGTAAAGTACATGTTACGTTGTAACATGTTACAAGTTACATGTAACGCATTACATTGTTACTTGTAACACAAGTAACTTGTAACTTTTTACATGTAACAAGTTACATGTGTTACAAGTAACAATTGTTACTTAACTTAATTGTTACTTAACACAATTACATGTGTTAAGTAACACATGTAACTTGTTACATGTGTCACTTGTAACTTGTTGTAACAAGTTAATGTAAGTTACATGTGTAACATGTAACACAAGTAAAGTGTTACAAGTGTTACACGTAACACGTTACTTGTGTTACATGTGTTACATGTAACGTGTTACAAGTGTTACATGTAAAAAAATGACTAAATAACATTTATCTTTGTTTTCACTTTACATGTAACACTTGTAACACATTTAACGTGTTACAAGTGTTACATGTAACAGTTGTAACACATTACACGTGTTACATGTAACACGTGTAACGTGTTACACGTAACACATGCAACACATGTAACGTGTTATGTGTAACACGTGTAACACATGTAACGTGTTACATGTGTTACATGTAACACATGTAACATGTGTTACAAGTGTTACAAGTGTTACACGTAACACATGTAACACGTTACATGTGTTACGTGTAAAAAAAAAAAATGAACCGACCCACCGCAGTGGGTAGTACCAGGCTACGTCAACCACAGATGGATTTGAACTCAGACTCTGCACCACTGGCGCCTTACGGTCGCAGACAATACCACTCTGCTATGACACCTGTCACACTTTGGACATTTCTCCGGGCGCATTTATCTTTTTACTTTCTCTTCCACCGTCTTGAAAACAGAAGATTGACTTCTAAGGGATTTGAACCCAACAGCTTCTAGTTTGGAACTCAACACTTTAACATCCATGACACAGGATGTGTCACACTTTGGACATTTCTTCAGGCGCATTTATCTTTGTTTTCTCTTCCACTGTTGTGAAAGCAGAACATCAACTTCTCAAGGATTTGAACCCACAAGCTTCTAATTTGGAAGTCAACGCTTTAACATCCATGACACAGGATCTGTCGAACGTTGGACATTTCTCCTGGCGCATTTATCTTTTTGTTTTCTCTTGCACCATCGTGAAAACAGAAGATTGACTTCTAAGGGATTTGAACCCAAGAGCTTCTAGTTTGGAACTCAACACTTTAACATTTATGACAAAGGATCTGTCACACTTTGGACATTTCTCCTGGCGCATTTATCTTTTTGTTTTCTCTTCCACCGTCTTGAAAACAGAACATCAACTTCTCAAGGATTTGAACCCACAAGCTTCTAGTTTGGAAGTCAACGCTTTAACATCCATGACACAGGATCTGTCAAACATTGGACATTTTTCCAGGCGCATTTATCTTTTTGTTTTCTCTTTCACCATCGTGAAAACAGAAGATTGACTTCCAAGGGATTTGAACCCAACAGATTCCAGTTTGGAAGTCAAGGCTTTAACATCCATGACACAGGATCTGTCACACTTCGGACATTTCTTCGGGCGCATTTATCTTTGTTTTCTCTTCCACCGTTGTGAAAGCAGAACATCAACTTCTCAAGGATTTGAACCCACAAGCTTCTAGTTTGGAAGTCAACACTTTAACATCCATGACAAAGGATCTGTCACACTTTGGACATTTCTCCTGGCGCATTTATCTTTTTGTTTTCTCTTCCACCGTCTTGAAAACAGAAGATTGACTTCTAAGGGATTTGAACCCAACAGTTTCCAGTTTGGAAGTCAACGCTTTAACATTCTTGACACAGGACCTGTCACACTCTAGACTTTTCTCCGGGCGCCTTTATCTTTTTGTTTTCTCTTCCACCATGGTGAAAACAGAACATCAACTTCTCAAGGGTTTGAACCCACGAGCTTCTAGTTTGGAAGTCAACACTTTAACATCCATGACAAAGAATTTGTCACACTCCAGACTTTTCTCCGGGCGCATTTATCTTTTTGTTTTCTCTTCCACCTAGTCAAAACAGAACATAAACGTCTCAAGAGTTTGAACCCACAAGCTTCTAGTTTGGAAGTCAATGCTTTAACATCCATGACAAAGAATCTGTCACACTCCAGACTTTTCTCCGGGCGCATTTATCTTTTTGTTTTCTCTTCCACCTAGTCAAAACAGAACATCAACTTCTCAAGAGTTTGAACCCACAAGCTTCTAGTTTGGAAGTCAATGCTTTAACATCCATGACTTGTTTTATCCTACAGTTATTAGATAAAGGCAAAAACTACTATAAGATTTGAACCCGTGAGATTCCAGTTTGGGGATGCTGCTGAAGGTTGCAGGTTTGATTCCCGGCACGGGGTCTTTCTGCATGGAGTTTGCATGTTCTCCCTGAGCATATGTGGGTTTTCTCTGGGTACTCCAGCTTCAAGTCCAAAAGCATGACTGTTAGGTCAATTGGCTTCTCTAAATTCTCCTTAGGTGTGTTCGTGAATGTTGTTTGTCTTTGTGTTGCCCTCTGATGCTGGTGACCTGTCCAGGGTAGACCCTGCCTCTCGCCTGTAGATAGCTGGAGATAGGCACCAGCACCCTGCTTCGGATAAGTGTGAAGGAAGGTGGATGGATGGGATACTTGTTCTATCTGCTGATATACAGGTGCTGGTCATAAAATTAGAATATCATGAAAAAATAGAGTGATTTCAGTAATTCCATTTAAAAAGTGAAACTTGTATATTATATTCATACATTACATACAAACTCATATATTTCAGATGTTTATTTTGTTTTATTTTGATGATTACAAATGACAACAAATGAAAATCTCAAATTCATCATATCAGAAAATTAGAATATTACTGAAGACCAATAAAAACAAAGGATTTATAGAAATGTTGGCCAACTGAAAAGTATGAACATGAAAAGTATGAGCATGTACAGCACTCAGTATTTAGTTGGGCCTCCTTTGGCCTGTATTACTGCAGCAATGCGGCGTGGCATGGAGTCGATCAGTCTGTGGCACTGCTCAGGTGTTATGATAGCCCAGGTTGCTCTAATAGTGGCTTTTAGCTCTTCTGAATTGTTGGGTCTGGTGTATTGCATCTTCTTCTTCACAATACCCCATAGATTTTCTATGGGGTTAAGGTCAGGAGAGTTTGCTGGCCAATTAAGAACAGGGATACCATGGTCCTTCAACCAGGTACTGGTAGCTTTGGCACTGTGTGCAGGTGCCAAGTCCTGTTGGAAAATGAAATCTGCATCTCCAAAAAGTTGGTCAGCTGCAGGAAGCATGAAGTGCTCTAAAACTTCCTGGTATGTGGCTGCGTTGACCCTGGACCTCAGAAAACACAATGGACCAACACCAGGAGATGACATGGCACCCCAAACCATCACTGACTGTGGAAACTTTACACTGGACTTCAAGCAACGTGGATGAAGTGCCTCTCTTCTTTTCCTCCAGACTCTGGGACCTTGATTTCCAAAGGAAATGCAAAATTTACTTTCATCAGAGAACATGACTTTGGACCACTCACCAGCAGTCCAGTCCTGTTTCTCTTTAGCCCAGGCAAGACGCTTCTGACGCTGTCTGTGGTTCAAGAGTGGCTTGACACAAGGAATGCGACAGCAGAAACCCATGTCTTTCATACGTCTGTGTGTGGTGGTTCTTGAAGCACTCACTCCAGCTGCAGTCCACTCTTTGTGAATCTCCCCCACATTTTTGAAGGGGTTTTGTTTCACAATCCTCTCCAGGGTGCGGTTATCTCTCTTTCTTGTACACTTTTTTCGACCACATCTTTTCCTTCCCTTCGCCTCTCTATTAATGTGCTTGCACACTGAGCTCTGTGAACAGCCAGCCTCTTTAGCGATGACCTTTTGTGTCTTGCCCTCCTTGTGCAAGGTGTCGATGGTCGTCTTTTGGACAACTGTCAAGTCAGCAGTCTTCCCCATGATTGTGTAGCCTATAGAACTAGACTGAAAGACCATTTAAAGGCTTTTGCAGGTGGTTTGAGTTAATTAGCTGATTAGAGTGTGGCACCAGGGGCCATCAATTTTCAACCTTTTCACAATATTCTAATTTTCTGATATGATGAATTTGAGATCTTCATTTGTTGTCATTTGTAATCATCAAAATTAAACAAAATAAACATCTGAAATATATGAGTTTGTATGTAATGTATGAATATAATATACAAGTTTCACTTTTTAAATGGAATTACTGAAATCAATCTACTTTTTCATGATATTCTAATTTTATGACCAGCACCTGTATATCTAAAATAGATATAAGAAAACCTCAGCAGAAGGAGGATGATTGCTTTGTTTTTCTGTGAGTAAGTGAAGGATCTCATCTTGATCCCTTTCAGAAGTTTTTGACGGACCTAAAGTAAAAAGGAAACTGCTTTCATTCATAAGACTTGGAATCCTAAGGTTCTGAGTTTTGAGCACCACTCCCACAGACTGCCACTCTGGGTCTCCGAACAAGACCGTTAACCCCATACTGCTCCCGGGGGCCGCACAATGGCAGCTCACTGCTCCTCAAGGGGATGTGTTAAATGTTGAGGGTAATTTCTCCCATGTTAGATCAATAAGGTTCAATTATCATTATCAATGCATTTCTTTTCAATAAGACATGGAATGGTGCAGTTCTAAAGTACATCCACTAGATGTCACTAAAGTCTAATCACTAGGCTGGTTTTAGATACTTCAGATAGTTTTAACCTCTCAGATGTGAAATATTGGATCTTCTTTGACTAAATTTACATGAAATCAAATATATTTTCCCCAGTTTATCATTTAAGCTCAAGTCCAAGGCATTTATTTCCCTCCAAAAAAAGCAACAAAAAACTGAAATGTTT